GCATGAGCGCGGAGTTGTGTGATTGGTCGAAGGACTCGCGGCGTACATAGTCAATTCTTATCCTACTGTCCTACTCTTTCTCTATGCGATAATACCGAAAAGGTCTTTTCCCCTCCAAAAACACCTTTTCCAGTCCTCTCCCCTGCTGCGTCCCAGCAGGCCGTGACACTGAGCCCTGACCACCTCCTGACCACCTAAGCGAGCCAAATGGTTTAAGACCACTCTTAAACGCCAAATTGAATTCCCCTAATAGCAACAGCTCTTCACACAAGAAGAAGTGACTGACCTTGACTATCACCGGTCAACATCTCAGTTGCCTTCAGCGGTGGCTCTTTGCAAGGCCAGAAATCTATAGCACCAAAGCGCCGGCACATCTAAAGAATGTTCCCATTGACTCCTCCTTCTGGTGATTCCTTTTGAGCCCAATGTAAAGTGTTGTCATTTGGACAGACGATGTTCACACTGCTGCAATAATATTGCAGAACAAGAAAAAATGTTGGGGTCTAACTGTATACAGGACAGACATTTGAAGGGGATGCATTGTGAACGGGGTGATTGAGAAGATATGCAATGGTAAGAGGTTTGCTGTGAACAAGTTTGTTGGGAGGTGAGTGAGAGAGGTGAGACACGAAAAGGGCGTGAGGGGTGGGGAGAAATGAGGGCTGTTGGGTGTGGGTTTAAGTGGTCTCATGATGGGGGGTGATATCGGCCGGTTGGGTCATTGACAAGTGACTGGCAAAAAAGCTGCAGAAAAGAGGAGAAAAGTGGACATAATATCTGATGTGGAAGCAGCTGCAAATCCACGGCTGTATTGTTTGGCCCTCAGGCCAACACAGTCCATAGATCTGGAAAGTTCATAGTAAATGGCAGAGGGCACATCCACCTTAGAATATTGAAGGGACGGTAGATTGAACTCGGAGGTGAACTGCGGCCCCTACAAAATTTTAAAGCAACAAAGGCGAGCAAATGGGCTGCTTTATTTAGGTTAAAGATGCTTGAAAAACTGGTCCATGCATCTGATGGCACCTGACCCTATAGTAAGCATAGCAACTGGGCAATGTATAGAAGGTGTCAGAGCCCTCCTCGACCCTTCGCTGTGAGTCGATCGACCTCCTGACCCACACCAAGAGGTTGGCATTTTGGCATTGGCTGAATTTGGCATGCCAATAAATGCTAATAGATGCCAATGCTGGTTGAGACAAGTAGAACAAGTGGCAAATTCATGTAAGGACCAAGCGGGTAGTCCTTCACTGTGTCGAGGTTGTACTTGTTGCGAAAAGTGTGCAAGACCCCTTGTGCATGTATCTGGACAACGTCCGTCAATATTATGTACGAGAAAGCACACCAAGAAGAAGAGCGGACACTGGCCAGGATCAGTCAAGGAGAACACCAGAGCAAAGGA